TTTTATCTTAGACACAACACAACACAACAGCACTGCTTGAGAGGTTCAAAATTTATAACCAAGTTCAATTTTCTCGCAAGAGTCTAAATTATTTCATTTTCGTTTGTCTCGTATTAAGAAGTTCCTCATAATGGACAAAAACGCTTTGGAATTACTTAGTCAAAACTACAGTAAGGATGTTGTAGAAAAGTAGGCATCGCATAAATTAAAATAGCATGCTGTGAAATAGAGACAAACTTGTTATTTCTAGCTACCCAAGCTAGTGAAAATAACAAATAAGTTATTTATTTCATCATTTCACCGCCTAACACTTGCGAGTGTGGTTTAGTTATGATTTTCACCACAAATACACCGATGTAATCATTTCTTACACTATCGTCCTGGTTCAATTTGCTTGTTATAGGCGACACAGCTGGTATTGACTCTTAAGATATACTGAAACTATTATGTTGCCGCGACCAAAATTTCTGATTAATTTCCAATTAAGGTGTGCCAAGAAAACGTAGCTTGTAATCGCAAACGAATGTGTGCACGTAAGAAACGTCGAAATATTGCTAAGAAAACAAAGCCAAAGTAACATTTGCCCTTTTTAAGAGCTGCGTCTATCATAAACTAGCCGCTCAGGCAGCTATGCAAATACCAAGTCAGGCAATACACGATTGCTAAGAGACTAATCACGCAAGGTTTTTTCCCCTCCCGTTTTTTGCTATTTTTATATAACTTTGTACGATCACAAAATGAAGACAAACAAGGAAAGATCTCTCAATATAAGATCAGGTCTTACATTTTTTCTTCAACGGCAAGACATGATGAATGAGAACTTTGCGTGCTAACGATGAGAAATAAGGAAGTGTTTTGACCAGCTGTCACCCAAACTCGTTTAGAGGAGACGCAATTGCAAAGAAAATTAAACTGAAACAGCTGGAATCATTTTAAAGTCAGTTGGCGAGATGTACATCAGTTGAGGCAGCGTTCAGTATTTCATCTTTGTCGGCGTGAAGTCTGGGAAGGGGTGTGCGATCGAGAGAACGCGTCTCTCCAATGTATCAAAGGTCGCAATGTGGTCCAACTTCCAAGAAAGACGTTCTTCCTTCTCTCACAAGCGTGAGACAAAGAACGAAAACATATTCGGTCCTTAACTAGGACTCGGACTCCAGATCTTCGTTATTGTGCTCTGATGCCCTGCCAATAAACTACAAAGTACTCACATAATGAGCATTTCAGGAGTTCATGTCAATGCTGTATAGAAAGATTCTGAAAGCGTTCAAAAGCTATTTCACACTTTTTGATGTATGTAGATTTCCATCTCTCGTGTTAGGTCACCATGTTCAGTGCAATTCGTTGATTATTTTTTGTCTAATTCTTTTTCTTCTGCATTTTCGTCCATCTCGGTCAATCCATTGCTAGGACATGCTCGAGAGGAATGGCGGGGAAGAAATTTTACCCTTTAGCGCTCATGTCACGTGACTCGTAACAAAGACTGACCGCAGCGAAATGTAGAAATGAATATGGAGGAAAGGTCTATTTTGAAGTGCAAGTCCCTGCTGTTAACAACTGTGATGTGGAATCTGCTCTAAGTGAATAAGAACTTCTAAAGGCCACTCGTTGCAATTCAAAAAGCCAATGAACTTAACACCGTGGGTAAAATGTTGAGTAGACTTATTGGAAAAGTGAGCGGGACTGTGCATATTCTGCAATGTAATTCGCAGCTTTACTAAGCCAAGGAGAAGGCCCTCGTTATCGGCCTTGCAGGAAGCAGGTCTCTCCAACTGCAGAAGGATTTGAGACGAGTCAAGGATATTTTTGCCGGAGGTCTGGTTCTACTTTTCAGTGTTAGGCCCCTGGCAGATCTCTCGCCGATCGATTAGCGTGTTGCCCAAGGTCTTATCAATCTCGAGCCCAGGGTCATTTTGGCTCCTTGTTAGTGGTATGGCCGTCATTATTTGGCGACCATACCTCTGACAAGGTGCCAAAATGACCCTGGGCTCGAAATTGAGGTCTTATACTTCCCAGCGGGCAATGAAACGTAAATAACGAGGGCATGCTTGCATGCTATCGATGCTCGTTTGTGTCCCAAAATAGCTCCTGTGTCGGGGTTGCTTATATAAATGAAGATCACCGACACCGGAGGGAGAACTAGCCTCTATTAACAATTCTTGTTTGTGCAGCAGGTTCGTCCTCGTCAAGAAGACGTCGTAACTTAACTGAGAGACCCTCAGTAATGGGCTATACAGATATTGCATGATTGTAAGTTCCGCAATATGGTCTTGAACACGCCTTGAGAGGCATCTTCACTTTAGTCGTAAGAGTTAAGTTGTAGCCTTCGTGTCAGGCCGTTTAGGCCATTTCTTCTGAAACTGAAATCGTCAAGACTGACAACAAAAGTGTACATATCATGCGTTGAGTAAGCAAGCAAGCTGAGAAGTGTTGCGACTATCAAAACTCTTACGACTGATGCTAGTTTAGAACGCTTTGATCCTCGATCATAATCTATCAATCCCATGATTAGTCCAGTTGCTATATTCCTCCTTTCTCTCCCTGTTTATGGGCTCAACCCAGGAGGCCAAAAAAGGTAACCCCCTTGAAAGGCCCATATAAGAATTCAAGGACAGGATAATCAAGCCACGGCTTCGGATTGTTTAAGTAAAACTCGGAACTGTCGGCTGATATTTCAGTTCTTAAACTCTAAGTTCAACGAGAGTCTTTCTATAAAATTCGATGCAAAATTTTACACAGGATAGGATTTGATATTGTTCTGGAAAAATGCTCTTTCGTAGTGATGTATATCGTTATAAGACGCACGGTTTTTTACGAGAAAAGCCTGGTCCCTCATGGAAAATTGATGCCAAACTCGGGGTGCGTCTTACAGCCAAGTATTTTGGTGAGACTGATTTTACCCACTTAACTCAAGATAGTACTCAAGATAATGACTGTTGGTAACAGATTTTCTTAAATTAATTCCGCCTTAGTAAGAATCTAGAATGACGTAATCATTTTCAAACGCTGGGAACATTTGAAGGAAAGCCAAGTGAAATGATGTGTGCTCCTTTTTCATTTAACAAATTTTTTTCATTGTCTCCTATCCCTTACCTCTATTCCATTGCCGACGTTGTCGAAAGAATTACGAACTTTTAAGTCCGCGACACGCGTTTTTGTTTCTTCATTGCGCGGGATCAAAACGGGCAATCCCTTCTGGGGCTTATCTTGCCTTCTCTGGTAGCCAATCAGCACATAGGATTCGCTTCATCTTGCTAACGGGCACTATCAGCTATACAATAAGAGGTAAAATAAACTTTTAAAAAGGGCAATACATTCTCGTTTTTGAAAAATGTTTAAGAGTGGGGCTCTTAAAGAACAAAACGAATATATAATACTTATTTTTCAATTATAGGGCGTGTGTCCCATATGGTCTAGTGGTTAGGATCCGGCGCTCTCACCGCCGTGGCCCGGGTTCGATTCCCGGTGTGGGAACATATCTATTTTCTTTTTCGCCTCATAAAATTTTTCGGACCATTGTTTATTCTTCTAAAATCTTTTCTTTTAATAATTTTTAAATTTTTGTTTGCACTACTTCGTCGGTAGCCTCGTCGAAGGCGTTTTTTCTAGAAACACTTCTCGCGTGTATATTTTTAGATTCTTGCTGCCCGCCAATTTCAGCATTTTTTTCTACTTCACGAGTGCATTACATTTCTGTTTTTAGAGTGATGTATACGTGAGCCTCCCATCAAATTTTAACGCGAAGAAATAATCTGGTTAATTCAGTCGCATAGCTGGTTCAGTCAACACACGTGGGTGCGCCTATCGCGCGCGATAACCGCGACTTTCGAGTTTCAAAAATATTTCAAACAAACTTGCTCATATTTTGAATGTTGATTATAGCAAAGTTCTCGGCGCACGTCTAAGGCAATTGAGTTAAAGATTAAGAGGCTTAGAGTTCTAAAGTTCATGCGATTAGGAGAAGGTAGGTTTGGAAGTTGGAAACCTTTTCCCTCCTGAAAAACACCTTCTTCTTTCAAAAGCTTTGATGGGGCATTGCCTCTCTAAGAGTGGACTAAGAAAAAAAAATACGACCATCTGGTCTCATCAAATTACCTTGGAGACAGAGGGAGAGAAAATGAAAACAGGGCTCGGACAACAAAACAATAAACTTGGTAATTCACCTAAAATTATCTAAAATTTAATACAATCGACTTCCGGTGAATATTCCCCAACTTTAAGCCAAGGTAAAGGACATTCAGAAGTTCCTAGCAAGATATTGTTTCCATAGAAACATTCAAACTACATAACAAACTGAAACTAACGCATTCAAACCCGCCAAGGTTTAAGGACTCGTTGATCGCACGACTGACTTACCATTCTTAGTGTGGGAGAAGGTCAAAGTTTGAATCATTGCTCTCGAAACTCTCACGCCCAAAGATGACGTCAGCTGGCATTAAGTGAATATGACTTGGATAAATACTTGAAATGATTTATGCTGTTTGAAATAGGGTATCATGTGCATGTGTACTCCACAAGGAGTTTTATCCATGGATGGGCCTAGTAGAAAGACAGTTATACAAAGAAATAAATTCTTGCATGAGAGATCAGGAAAGGCATATTGGAAGAGTACTTTATTTAAACTTCTTGTAAAGGGTTAAAGAAAAAAAAATCCTGCTAAAGAAAATTGCATTTAATATATCTCTGCAATATACCTTTTTCTTGAGGGCGTTAACAGCTTGCAAAACAACGTCGGTTAAGAATTCTATGTAACAACATGTCTGTGATATGGCGCGTATGATATACTGGCACAAGTAATCATTGCTGCTCTAGAATTTTGGGAAAAGGCATTTGTGCTTTGACCAACCCTTAAAATTTATATAAATGAAGGCATACGTAATAGACGAGATATGTTTCACGCCACTAAGGGTCATCTTTTGACGTCACTGATGACGTTTCTTCGAGCTTCACACATAGTAGGAGACATGCGTGGTGGGTTTTTTTGCTCTACCACCCCCTGCAACGTTACGGTTGGCAAGAACGCCATTGCAATCATGGCGGACCTCAACAGTAGCCTGACAGCCATGGACTGGCTACCAAAGCTTAGTGTTGGCACTGCTTTGAACACTGCCAACAAGATGTCGAACAACAATAACGATCCAAATCGGGACAAGAGTCCATTTCGCAAACCGCCGAGCTCACCGCTCGATCCGAACGCGACTTTAGACGATGAGGAGGCACAACAACACAAAACGCGCGAAAGCAAACCACCATATTCTTACGCAAACTTGATCACTTTTGCAATAAATAGCTCACCGAAGAAGAAGATGACGCTGAGTGAGATATATCAATGGATCTGCGATAAGTTCCCGTATTACAAAGAAGCTGGAAACGGATGGAAGGTATATGGTATTGTAAGACATTGTCGCCGAAAATTGGATAACCACTGAATATTAAACTTTCTAGGCGATTATTTCAGTCATTACCCGTTATTGAATTCGGTAGTAAATACAGATTGTTTTTATTACCTGCAGAATTCGATCCGACACAATCTGTCACTCAATAAGTGCTTTATGAAAGTGCCCAGAAGCAAAGACGACCCTGGCAAGGTACATCATATGCATGCGTATTGATTGTAGTCAGACCTCTGTTGTGAATTGATACTAGAGTTGATCGCAATATCTTTGTTAGTTTTACGTGTTAAAATAATTTTTTGCGATAATTTAGGGTTCATATTGGGCGATAGACCAGAATCCACAAGATGACAGTGCACATTCCCGGCAAAACAGGAAAAGACGGCCAAGCGATTCTAGGGTAAGATCACACCACTTCGCAATACGAAACATGGCGCTAACGTAGTTGCAAGCACAGATTTTGTAAACATAGTGTTTTTTTAAAGCTTATGTAGGGGGTTTGTAAAACATCGAATTTTTATAGTTTTTATGTTTTATGGCACGATCGAAACGCTGGTTTCATTTTCATGCATGTTTACGTTTACTCATGTCCCAATCGGTACATTTTTTCCTCTCATATTATTGTAAGCAGTTTGGAGCATGATATAACGTGATTCACGGAAAGTCTCAAAACATCCTGTCGATAATTTCCTTGCCTGTAATGTTAAACCGGTGACTCATTTCAACGCCTTGACAAGTGTAATGGACGAATGTAATCTTTACAGCTCGATTTATCATCGACGATCGAATTTTCACGTTGTTGATTTCATTTGTCCCAAGAACATGTGTGATAGAGACCGAGTAGATGATAAGGTCACGAATTCTTTTACGTTAAAAATAGATCAATAAAGCATTTGAAGTAAAATCATGCCTTGATCTTAAGGAAAGAAAAATCTTTACTAGGACAAGCGCCCGGAGAAAATTCGGGTTTTCATTTGTATTTTATTAGCAATCTTATGATAATCCCTTGAGTAATTTGCATTATCCTACTGACTCCTTTTAGAGTCAAAATGTGAAGGGGTCGAATCGATTGCGTGCGTCGAAACAATTCCGTTTAAAGCAAAGAGGTTAACTCACACATGACTCCGCCTTCTTTGTCTTTTATTTCCTAGGCTAAAAGGTTAACTTTCATTGTTTTCATCGAAGCAATAGATGAGGCTTTCGAACTAGTTAGGCGATCATTGAAAAGTCTTATCATTAGTAATTTATGAAGCTATTTTCATGCAGAAAAAAATCGATTTTGAAGATGATGCAAATGTTCTGATATTGTCACAAATTGAGTTTATTTCATTGATGGCATTTGGAGTTGTTCCTTATAATTTCTTCTGTCTCTGTGTAATACACATGAATTAATATTCATGTGAGGTTTTGCCAGCTAAGTGAATTTGAGGTTTATGAGATTATTTGTGTTGCTAATTACAAATTGCTGATGCCACGTGTAAGACATTTTCTAGAAAGGAAACTAGTATTGCATCTGTGGTTCTCAAATCTGATTGTCAATGCCAGTTGTTTGTTAGGTTTTTATATTTTTAAATTTTATCTTGCAAATTAATTTAATAACCTGTGCTTCAAAATAGAAAATTTGCTTGTTTATCCTTTCCTTCACAGAGACAGCACTCTAAGTTAAGTAAATGAAAAGAAGGGCACCTTTGAAAATTTCTGAGAAATTTCTATAAAGCCTAAGCTATATTGAAAGATTATAGACTAAAAGGAAAACAAAAAATTCAGGTTGGAATGTGTTGGCATCAGTGGTGTTAGAGTCTTAAAAATGCCGTGGTTTTAATCACATAACATAAAGGGGGGCTAGTTTCTAAAGAAATTGTGGTGCTGCATTGGTGGGGTATTACAAGATAATTTAATTATCAAATGAGTTGACAACATAAGTTGACTACCATAAAGAGTTTCTAAAGCTGACATAATCAGTGTCAACCCTTTATTGAGGTGAAAGTGAAAAACTTGGATCATATAACAGGAAAATTACTATACCTTCACTTAGGCCACAATAGTTGACTTAAAATGTAAGATTGTTGAATTGACAGGGTGCTGGGAAAGGGAGATTCCAATAGTGTGCTCAATTGGTAATAAAGTGAAAAACTTAACATACTGGTAGCTAAATATTTGAAATGAAGATGTAGGAAAAAAATCAAAGCAGTATTTTCAAGGAAAGTAATAGTCATTAGAATGTGTGGGATCTTAATCCTTTCTACCCTTTCATCAATATGCACATTCTTGATACTTAAAAAAACTTTTGACACTGTCGATCATAATATTCTCTTCCAAAAGCTGGATAATTATGAATTCCATGGTGTAATAAATAGGTGGTTTTCCATCTTACTTGCAAGGCATAACCCAGAAAACTCGAATTGATTCGCTTATATCCACAAAAACCAACACTACATGTGGTGTACCATAAGGGTCAGTCCTTGACCCACTACTGTTTCTAATCTATTTCAATGATATATACAAATCCTCTGACGAACTTGATTTTTTTCTGTTTGCTAACAACACAAACATTATGCTGACAAAAACCTAAAATCATTAGAGGAAGTTGTGAGCCAGGAACTCTGCAAACTGTGTGATTGGTTGATGGCAAATAAGTTAACCTTGAATAAAGAGAAAACAAATTTCATCATATTTTGTCCTGCTTAAAGAAAACTTACTTACCATCCCAGAATAATGATATTTGATAATAAACTCAAGAAGAGGGTAGCTTTGGATTGCAAGGAGTTTGTGAGATATCTAGGAACTCTAATTGACAATCAGCTGTCTTGGAAACAACATATTAACCATGTAGCAATCAAAATTAGTCAAACTATTGGACTGATCTCTAAATTACGATCTTTTGTACCAAGACACACCCTTACTACACCTTATCTAACTTAAAGCATGATAGCTTGGGGCCAAGCATGTAAATTGTACCTTGACAATCTTTTTTTTAGCTGCTAACATCTTCTATCCTTAGTTAGTCCAATATGATATTTTAAATTCACTTATTCTGTCACAATAAATCTGTCCTATTAACAAAATTATTAGATTATAGGTAAATTGTTAATGCTTATGTTAACATGCTGTATCCTTAGTTAGTCCTCTGTGTAATTGTAAATTTACTTATTTTGTCACCATAAATTTGTTCTATTGACAAAATTATTCAGAGACCATAAATAATTTGTGAATGGGTATGTGATAGTTTTTACATCTAACATTTGACCCACCTAGAATAACACTCAAGCTAACTTTAGGCACATGAAAAATTGTAAATACAAATCCAAGTGATAGAATTTATGTATGTATTATGTCAGTACTGTTCTGTACACATTTCCTAAGATGCTGACAAAGAAAATTTGCTTACCAATAAAAAGCTTCCATAGTTGATGACAAATTCCCTTATTTGCATGACCCTAATGTTTGATTCAGGGGTGATATTCCAAGGAGGAATTAGGGTTAAAGGACACATGACTCCTTCCCTCCCTATTAAAATAACTTAGAGAGAAAGAGCAACCTGGCACCACCCCCTGATCTTAGTAAGATGCTACTGACTAGAAAATCCAACTTTTTTTTTTTCATTTTAAGACATGTAAATGGAAAGATAACTCATTCAAAAGTTATTGAAAATGAGACAGTGTCTCAAAGCTTGCAACATCATATCATCATATTTTTGATATTATATTCATTGCTTTTATACCCATAGCTCTGTTAATTCTAGCATTAAGTAACTTGGCTTTTACTTTATTGAAAATTCTTTTTTTATTCCTTGTAGTTATCTCCATATGGGCCTGAAGATGGTCGTGTCTCACCAATTAGCCCTCAGTCCTCGCCATGTGGATCACCATCATCTCCAACATTAGCCTCGCTGCATGCTAGTGCAGGATATTATGGTTCGTCTCCTACTAACCAGGGTTTCCTGGGAATGTCAGCTGGGATATCCCCTGGGTCATCGCCTAACACTAATGTAGGTGGATTTGGCGCCTCACAGAGCTATGGAGAACCTCCAAGGAAGATTTTCCCAGAGGTTGCCTTTGAAGATCTCAGTGCATCATTTAAAAATCTTTACAAATCTGTTTTCGATGCATCACATGGAGGGGACAGTTATGGTGAGTAGTGAGTCATATGGTAATGAAGTTGTGATGTGGAAATTAGTTCAAAATAAGGTATCCATCACATTCTTTTCAATCAAAATTTACGCCAAATTTTTGAGAAAAAAAATGCCAGTATTTCTTTTTACAGATTGTCATTTGTTGTTATGGATATTAACCCCTCAACTTCCAAGAGTGACCAATACAAAATTTCTCCTTACAATATCAATGCAATATCAACAGACAAGTGACGAGAATAAAGAAAAATATCAGTTAGGTTTCATTGGTTGATCCAATACCAAATTCTCAGAACTAGCATCAGAATAATTGTATGGCAGACTGCAAGGAGAATTACTTATGAGATCTTGAGGGTTAGATAACTACAGAGAAAAAAATGGACCTGAGTGTCACAGTATAGAATTGACTGGGTGTTAATTTGCCATCAGAGGTTGAAGAATTTTCCACCTGCTACAAAAAAATCTTGTTGTTAACTTTCACTGGCCTAACCTATAGTTTAGTCAGAAAAGGATAACATTCTCTTGTCACTTTTACATCAGTATGCAAGTTCTCCATACTCCTTCCTATACATTTCCCATGCTGTTTACTAAGAGAATTTCTCTGATGATCAAGAGCTTCTTGAGTTTGTGATCATTTTTTATTCTCTTGTTCTTAATGTTTGATTCAGGGGTGATTCTTTGTGGAGAAATCAGATGCTTATCATGCTCATCACTCATGGGGGTTTAAGGGTTAACAATGTTTTCCTGTTACAATATATATTATCGTATTTAAACCCTGACTGTCTTGATGATGTTGATGACGGTTAATTTTTTAAAATGAAGAGTTAGATAGATGAATGGTCAGATAAGTGAATGAACAATTTTCTTAATTTGTAGGTGGTGGAAGTATAGGTGCCAGTATCTTTGCAGGCAGCCAGAACCTAGCTGCGTCTGCACAACTGTCACAGCAGCAACAACTTCAACAACAACAGCAGCGTCAACAACAACAACAACAACAGCAACAACACCACCAGCAGCAACAACAAAATAATCTACTGCAAAATATGGAACTACTCTTGGAAAGCCTTAACACTAGAAGTTTTCAAAACTTTGACCTTGGTACATGGCAAGTCTTGATGGAAAGTATGAAATCTGCTGATCTGCAAAATATGGGAGTGGATCAGAATCAGTGGCAGGATTTTGCCTTTTCATTTAGTCAATATCTTCACCAGCAAGGCTTTATCCCTGATTCTAACTCCATGAGGGGAATAAGCCCATCCTCATCCAACAGTAGCAATATGATGGGCAGTCCACAAGGAATGCTTCAAGTAAGCAATCCCCAGTTTACATCTGGAGGCTCCCCTTTACAAGGTTCTCAGCATAGTTACAGCAGTTCGGCAAGTTTTAGTGGCAGTTCACAGCACTCCATCCCAGGCATCAAAGTGACGTCAATTAATAATCAACCCACAGTGGGTCAGACTGGTAATCAGCATACAATGATTGGGACAAGAGCACCAGCGCTAATGGATGACGATGAGGATGAGGAATTTGACTGGGATTCATTGCTATGAGTCTGTATACAGGTAGCAGGGTAGCAACTGTGATATTTGTAATTATTATTGGGAGGGAAGGACAGAAGATGAAGCAAAGTTCAGGAATGGAAAGCATTCATTGACATAACATGTTTTTTAGAGTATGTACACTAGTAGTTTAAAGTAAAAATTATTTAAATATGAAAGGTGAAATGGCTTTTAAACATACCTTAGAGATGTAGGGGTGGGGGGGGGGAGGTAAACTTCACCATCTAGACAAACCCAACCCCCCCCCTTGAGAAGTGTGGTTTCCTTTTTATCCAGGACTCCTACAAAATTATTTATTTTGACTTGGATGAAAAGGAACATTACCATTCTCATTGAGGAAGTGCTCAAATTTATTATAGTGTGAGTATTCTCTGTGATTGTATTGGACCAATTAGTAATATGCAAGTATTTGAATTATACTCAAAGTTTGTTCCTGTAAATCCAACAAAAAAATCCTATTCCCTCTCAAAGTTTTGGATGCAAGGTCCAGGGGCCTGTAGCAAACTTCTTCAATGTCTACGATGATGATAATAACTTTATGGACGAGCCCTCTCCCACTTACAACTTCTAGGTTTACAATTATGAAAAAAGTATCGAGTATCACCAAGAAACTGTGGTGAATGATAATGATGAATCATGACCAGCTAATGTTGTGACGTTTTCTCTAAGAGAAGAATTTACCTTCAATTTGAAGGTATGCTGTTTGACATGCATCAAACTTCTTTTGATGACTGTGTCACAATAGTAAGAATGAATGACTGGTTATAGCAGTTTTTTTTATTTTTAGCCGTGACAAGAAATGGGTTTTACATGTACCTGCTTGTAGTATCATCCTCAAGACACCTCATAGAAGTAAAGGTGTTATTCTATTTACCGACAATCTCTTGGCCCACTCAACTGCTTGTTGATTTTTATTTTGTTGCAGACTGGGTGCATTGTTCAATGAGGGCTCTGAAAAAATATTTTTAGGGGTTGCTGTCCCAAAATTATCCTTAATTGAGCCATATACATATGCCAGGGACCCATGCTGGGTATTTTAAGGTGCATTTTTTGAGATTTGCTCTTGTGTTCTTACCACATAGTTTTAGTTGCAAGTCAATGTGAACAGTATCCTCCAAATAGAATCTTTAAATTGTGAATATTAAAACAGAAGATGTCTTTTGCTAGTTTTTAATTCAGTTTTGGTAGGACTTAACCTTTGTAACAAGACTGCCATGCCCAGGTAACTTTGGCAGTGAAAAACCAATCATGTTGCACCCAAATAACTTAGAAAGTTAGAAAGGGCATTGACTGTTTCAAGTGTCAGAAGGTAAAAATACTTCATTTCAGGTCTGTAGTGTGATTGGTTCCACATTGTCATTAGGTGTATGTGGTGATCTCATGTACATTTAACAATAGTATTGAAGGTGCAGTTGGAATTTAGTCTCCATGGTGACTTCAGATCAAAAGCCAGATTTGTATATGCAATTGCATACAGTGCGGAACACACTAGGTGACAAGTCCCTGAGATGGGTATCTCTGTTAAATGGTTTTGTGCATACTTCTTCCAAATCATGCAACTATGACTCCTATTATTACAATGATTATCACAAGAATTCCTGTTAGAATTTGTGCAATGCATAGCAGCTACAAAGCCCCGTCACAGACCAAAATCTCTAAGTCACTGCAATGTCCCCGCAATGTGTTACAGCAGCTTCCTGCTCACCTTTGGTAACTAATTATAGATAGCTGACCCTCACAATCATACCCTTATCACACACAATGAAACCAAGCATGTTTATCATGTGCAATAGTTTAGAATTTGAGAATTAACACTGTTTGTAGATAGATTGCCAAATATTCATAGCAAAGTCAGTAATGGGGGTATGCAATTAAAAAGCTGCCCCCAAGAGTCATGGAAACCATTTTTAGGGTCTAGCCATGTGTAAGAACAACTTTCCTTTGTGATATTGTTTCACCCAGCCAGAGGAATGTAAAGCATAATGCTTAGTGTGTTCCAGCTTTGATGTATAATTAAAAAAGGGGAAAATTTCACTGGAGAGTTAGCGGTCACCCAGAGCCTTCTTTCAAGCACTTTGTCAAAGGACCTGTGTCTTCAATGGCAGTGGAAAAATTACAATCACCAGACTTGTTAACTGCACAGGAAACTGTTAGAAACCCTGAAATGATCACAATATTTAGATGACAATTTCTTTTCCTACCAATTACTTTTTTTTTTTTTAAGGTGGTTGCCATCTAGGATAAAGGTCCATTTTAAATACAGGTTAAATTAACAGTTTCCCCCTCTCTTTCCTATCTGAGGGGCTATGATGAAACAATACAAAAGTATTAATAATATATTACAGCATGTGTTGTAACTAGGACTTACCTGATAAGTTTAATATTGAAAATTGATCAACCTGTAGTCCATAAAGAGGTAGACTAGTGTTTTGTGATGTTTATATTATTTTGTACATACATGCACATTTTTTCATATTTTTATCCATATTTCTTACCTTTGCATAAATATGGCTTAGGTTTCCATCATAATGTGGTGAGGTGTAAAATTATTAAACACACAAGGAACAAAATTAGACTGTGTGGTTCAATTGGTCAACTCAGTTGGAAAATTATAATGAGCCCTTTCACTCCCAAGATCTCATCAGTAATTCTCCTTACTGTCTGCAATACAATTCTTATGATGTTGGTTTGGAGAATTTGGTATTTGATCAACTAACAATCCCTAAATGACATTTTACTTTATTCTCACCACTTGTCCGCTTTATGTTGTATTGACACTATATGGAGAAATTCTGTCTTGGTCACTCATGGGAGTGGGATGGGTGGCTGAGAGTAAAGCCTTGTTTACACTTGCTATATAATAGCCTAAGGCCATCGTCATCAAATAAAAATCAGTGTTCAGTTGTTCAGATAATGCCATCCAACAGATAAATTGACATTCAGGGGATATTTTTAACAAAATGCCTTGGGCTATCCTCTGACTTGTGATTTGTCTGTGAGATGGTGTTATCCACCATTTAACCAAGCAGGGCCAGTTTTTCAGTATGCATGATTAATGTCTTGTATGTTGCACAATTGGTAGAGCACTGCACCAGTTTTATGGAGGTCATGGGTCCAAATCTTGTACAAGCCTGAATTTTTTTTCTGGCTTCATTCATGTGGTGTTCATTACTGCAAAGAGTGCTTCCAAATTCCATTGATACTTTTATGTTACATATCTGCATGCTCATGTTATTACTAATGAAAGTCAACCTTGTTCTGTCACTTATTTGTTACATCCTTATGTGCCCATAGGAGCCATAATAATGATTATGTTGCTTTGTCAGCATAATCTCACTTCAAATGTATCAAAAATATGACCTTCCTTTGTCATTGGACTTCTGCTATAATCTTCCAAAATTATTATTAATCTTTCATCCTATAGATTCAGAAATTGTCTCCAGATGATGAAAGTTAACATTGTGCACATTATTAGTCTGGTGATTAACTGAAGTGAAACTAGAAATAATATCCCTGTGGTGTTGTTGTTGGGGGTGACTTGATTTTTTTTTTCTTGAGTTTAGTTTTTGCTCCACTGAAAAAGGTATTAATTTGGGAAAGGAGAACAGGTTCACTTCTAGAAAATCAACTGTTTACCGAGCCTGGTGCTTGTGAAATAAGGCAAAAGACTTTGAGGAGAGCATACGAGTACGTTTGTATAAGGATTCTTATTTTGCCAGCCCCTACCAGATGCCCTCTTTAGAACCCTTTGTGCATGATAATGTTTATCTCAGGCCTTAACCTTCTAACACGTAAGAGTAACTGGGACCTAATTTCTCCTTACAACATATCATTGCTGAATCAAACACAAAGGTCATTGGAGGAACGAAAATGATTGCAAACATTTAGAAGCCAGTGATTGTCAAACAAACTCTTGTTGGCAATACAATAGGGAATGTATAAAGAGCAGTATAGAGAATGTACATATTCATGCCAGGGTGTCAACAGTTAACGTCCCTTCAAATGACATGCAAACTCTCATTGTAAGACTGCTAGATTTTGATAGCCAGAGATATTTTCACAACTTAACATCACCTCAAACCCCTAATTTGAATAATAAACAGTTCTATTAGAAAACTTGCCAAGAACAGGAAAAATGAGTGCTCTTACTACATTTTTGTAAGATAAAATTCAATGCACTTGGAGGAGAGAGTTTCACAAAGAAGTTATACTTTGTCTGGAGTTCAGTAGAATAATTCCACCACGAAAGCTTAACCCTTTACAGCCCAACATCAGTATGGATATTCTCCATATGGTGCTCTGTTCATTTTGTAAGGTGCTCACAAGGAGAATTTGTGTAACAATCAAGAGCTTCTTTGGTTGGATGATCATTTCCTTTATTAGTGTGACATTTATGTGTGATATTGTAAGGAGAAATAAGATGCTTGTCACTCTTACAGGTCTCAAGGTTAAAAACCTTCCCAGGGAAGAGGGGTGGGATATGGACATGTTCTGAAACAGCAGTGGGGCAATTAAAGAGTTCTAAATTGGGTAACAAGTTACAGATTTTATTGACTTAAAAAAAAAAAATCTACAAATGGTGATGAATCCAAGCTTAAGAAGGGCCTGGTTAGTCTGCCTTGCTCTTTACTTCATCTCGATGATGCAGGAATACCAAGCTAAAGATAAACAACCCCAAAATCATAGAAAAGGCACTGGCATAGTAAGGGTATGCAGATGGAATGAACCGCTCATACTGAGTGTGTTCTCTAGGACGCACAGAAACCTGAAAAAAAACCCAGAGAAACTTGAAATTAGCCTTTCATCAAAGATACTGTTTGTCTTTTATGCTTAAGTGGGCATAAGTTAAATTTTCAAGTAACAGGTGTACAAAAAAATACTAAAGGCAGCCAGGAAACCCATTACAAACCAATAAAGGGGGTAAGTTTATAAAGAAACTGTGGTGCTGCGTCAGTGGGAGGGTAGAACAGGTAATTTGGTGTTAACAACCGAGTTGAAAACATAAATTGACCACCATAAAGAGTTAAAAGGCTGATGTTTCGAGCATTTGCCCTTCAGCTATTGCTTTGATGAAGGGCTAACACTCGAAACGTCAGCCTTTAACTCTTTACAGTGGCCAATTTATGTTTTCAACTCAGCTGTTAACATCAAATTACCCATTACAAACCACACCATTTCTACATGATGGGCTTTCTTGAGAAAACACTATAATGTTATCACAGTTCAGAGGTGGAATAGTGACAAATCAATGGCACAAGAGCAAGCATCACAAACAAGTCACTTATCACAGCAGGCATTTGAATAGCTGAGGTTAAATTGGTTCAATTTGGCCTTTGGAATGTGTAAGCCTCTTGGATGGCACACCTTCTAAATCCTGTAAGGCACTACTGGTGTAAATTAGATTTTTTTGAAGTGACAAAGGGTATTGTTATGACCCATAGATGATAGTCAGTTAGTGGCAATTGTCTTGGGTAGACAAGGGCTAGTGCTTGAAGGTGATGGAACTGGAATAACTCTGCAGTAATAAAAGTGCCGAGTTCTTCTGGAAATTAGCTTGTCTCTCTTAGAAAAAACAATTCAGTGCAGAAAAAGGAACATATGGTATGATCACCTCTTTCAGTATTGTTACAAACAGGTGGTCATAGTAACAAGGGAAGACAATGGTAGTTGTTGAACTAATTCCAACTGTAAACTAGCAGTAGAAATAGCCACTTCCACTTAACAGAATGTGCCACAAAAAAAGCTTGACCCTTTAACTCCTGTGAGTGACCAAGACAGAATTTCTCCTTACTATATCTATACAATATCATGCAGACAAGTGATAAGAATAAAGGAAACTATCAATTAATTGATCTGATACCAAATTCTCCAAACTAACATAATGTGAATCATTTGGCAGACAGTTAGGAGAATTACTAATGAGATCTTGGGAGTTTAAGGGTTAAGTGCCTGAAGAGTTATATGCCAAAATGGTACAAACTAACAATTCAAACAGCAATAAAACAAAAGAATACATGTCAATACCTGAGTTTTGCTGTGGAGGTAAGTGTAACCCACACGGTTATATTCCACCTTAAACTGGAACACCCCATACACATCAGGCAGTTTGAACTTTGCAACAAAGAGGCCATCTGTAACCATAAAAGAAACATCATGACTGAGGTTAAAAAAAAAAAGCTGCATGTACATGTACTTTAATTAAATAGCTCATTGATACTAAAACAGTATTTAAATTGTTTGCTTTCCCCATTTTAAACTGCTGTTTCACTTAAAAGAAAACATTAGGGGGAAAACACAAGGCCTTCGCTTTTTTTTACCATACACCAGAGTGTTTGAAAGTTGCAATAAACTCTTCATAATACAAACAGGCCTTTGTTATTGATTATATTATATTATAAATTATGTTTAAGATTGAGACTAGAATACCATTTGACTTGTTGAGTGTTGTCCTCACAAATGGATCAATCCTGAAGAACTCTAATTGCACATCAGTCCCTTGGAATGATTCCCACTTTCCATCAACCAGCTCCTCAATTCTGATGCTGTAAACCTGGAAAGATGAAAAAGAAGAAAAACATGTAAGTAAAACATTTTTGGTTTGAACAAACATTGATATCATGAAAGAAACACTAGAGCCGTAAGACTCCCTGAGTTTCCCAGTCAGAAGCACTAGCTCCTTTAGAGGAGCTCAAGAACCCCTGTCCAAACCACATCCATTGAACACAGTAACAGTGTTCTCCAGATAATTCTTAGTTGCCAGCCATAAAAAAGACTTAGCTGGCAAAGGCTACTCTTTTTTTTCCCAGACCAGGACAAGTACGTTCATACCCAAAATGTCGGCAGCCAGTGCCTCTAGGGAACCCTGTAGCACATTACTTGAGATGCAAAGAAAACTAATTACCACATCCTCTTCAATGGTGTAGGCAGCTGGAGGTGATGCTTCTCCTGCACGATGATGTTTCACTTCTCCCACACGAAGGACACCATTCTCCTTGAAAACCCATTCACTCAGAGCAATGGCCAGATCTTGGTTTCCAGATTTAGCATACCTGTGATCAAAAAAATACAATCAGACAATACATGTAAATTATTGACTGCAGAGGGAAATAGAAGCATTTGTAGTAAAAGTGCATGTAGCAAAAAATGTGCACAACAAAGGCAAGCTCTAGTGGTGTTGGCCACTTGCTTTGTGCCTAGACTCAACTGTGTGAAACTCTTATAATTTGTTTATGTCAAATTTGGAATCCTTGCCATTGAAATAAATGATAGGGTTCCATACTGAATTTATAAAAAAAAAATTATTAAAATCACATACTGTTTGGAACCAGCTTTGGAACTCTGCACAGGCTTGTTGAAATATCTGTGGAAAAATTATGAATACATTGTCTAAATGTGCCTTAATTTTTTCATGTCCAGCTTGCAGTTGATGTACATGTTCATTATTTTGTATCCAACCCAAGTCTCATGACTCTTATGAAATTCAAATCAACCTGATCAATAAAAATAATAATAATAGTAATAAATGAAAGGCGAAACTTTATTCACAACTCAGTCAGAATA